CATCATATAATAATTGCTGTTAATAGTGTTCATCGTCTGTTTGATTACGTCTTTAATTGATTTTTCTGTACATTTCTGCCATATGTACATTGACTGACCCACTGATAAGCTACTACTAAATATATTGTAGAAACTTAATTTTCTGTAAATTTGCTTTGCAACGATTTGTATCGTGAAAAGCGCTGTACAAATAATCTTGAATTGAATTGAATTAATAAAAATGACAAAAGCACTAAAATGAAAACTGAAAATATACCAAGCCAATTCAAAATATTAATAAACTGTAATAGTATATACACAATACTAAAAGACAGCACACAAACACATTTCTACCACACATGTATGTTTTACTGCAGTAAATGTGGTGAAAGAGGTTTGTGCTGATATATGACTCAAAGACTCGTGTGAATCACGTGAATCATATGAATCATGTGATAATTGATTCAGTCTCTGAGAGTCCAGCTGCACAAAAGAACAAATGCAAATGTGCTGCGTGGCGTTTGACTGCATCTGATCAGTGTTCGGCCGCCCGCTGACATCACGTCAACACGAGCCAATGCTGTGTGTGTGTGTGTGTGTGTGTGTGTGTGTGTGCAGAAACACAAACACCAGAGACGCTCCTGTGTGTGTGTCTGTAATTGAACTATAAATTAGAGACACAGAGGAGGATGGGGCGAGCAAGGGCCACAGGTCTGCAGAGAGAGAGAGAGAGAGAGAGGCATCTATTGGTTGAGCAGGAGGAAGGTGAGATACACTAGATTAAGGTTAGTCAAACGCTGTGGCTACAGTAAAGGTTCAGCCTTGGAACGATCCATCGGGAGGATGAAGGTCCTGTGGAATCACAATGGCAGCAGATGGTGGAGGAGGGGGGAGGATGAACACACACACACACACACACACACACACACACACGGCTTCAAATGTACTGTGAACACCAGCTCAACCGGACATCTCCATCCAAAACATCAGTAAATCATGAAACCACAAAATCAAATGAGAGAAGAAAAAAAATAGAAACTGTTTTGGAAGTCTAGTTACAGCATTAATAGGCAGTGTAAATACTACTACTATGATGTATAAATACAGTACTATTTAAATAATAAATATATTTTCACATTAATAAATTAATGTTATTTAATAATATATTAAATTAATATCTTAATTAGATTGTGATTTTTGCATTACAGTAATGCAATAATAAATATACTTTCACATTAAATAAATACATTTATATAATAATTTATTATAGTCTATATAGTCTATTTACAACATTAATAAGCAGTGTAAATACTACAACTATGATACATAAATACTTTATAATTTAAATAATAAATATAATTTATTTAAATAAGTAAATTAATGTAATTTAATAATATATTAAATTAATAAGATTGTGATTTTTGCATTACAGTAATAAGGATTTGGGCTAAAATGTCAAAATCTTTGAAAAAACTGCCTTCATTTTCTTTAAACAATATATTTTTCTATTTTTGTGTTTTATGATGAATTTTGCACATTTTGACAGTTGAACTAAATCAACTCTGAACTGAATTGATCTGAATAATGAAACTACTGTCTTTACAGCTGAAATTGAATTTGTTTCATAATTAATTAATTTTTGGTTATTGAACCAAATCTGAATCAACATAGATCTGAATTGATGTGAATAATGACACTGTTGTCTTCTGTAGAGCTGAAATTCTCATATTTAATGAAGTTTCCATCATTGATTCTTTCCTTTTCCTTTTATTTTCCACAGAAACACAGTTGACTTGACTATTTCTTGTTGATGTAGTGGTGAATTATGTTCATAGCACATCCACTGACACACAGCAGGGAGGGAGGGGGAGGAGCCTGCATGAATATTCATGAGCTTGTTAATATGTTAAGCAGAAAGGAAATATCTGGCCGTGTGAGGAAGAGCTTTTGCCACAAAAGTCTGAAAAAATCAACAGCAGTGAACAGAAAAGCCATGCATCATAAAGCAAACAATATAATCACACAGCTCAAGCAGAACCCATATTTAATCATCAAATGAAGAATAAAGCCTTTGAGAAGAAGCTGATGTGATGTGTGAGCCTCGGTTCAGTACCGCGGTAACCGCGGTAACCGAGGTTCAGACGTCAGCAGTGATGCGTTTCTGCAAGCATTGTGTGTTGAACACGTGAACTGCTTCCAGCGACCGTCAGACGCACCGTTCCCTTCATTCATCCATCGCTTCCAGTGCTAAAGCACACATAGAGAGATTCCCGAACACGGACGTCAGGAGATTAACCGCTGAGTTATTGATAATCAATGTCAATTAAACGCTGCTGTTTGCTAATGAGCTCAGCGCTGCTGTCGTCTGTAACACTCGATCACACGCATCGATCGATAAACGCTCATACTGTAAGCCGGATGATGTTAAATACAAGCTAATTAGAGTTAACAAAAACTAAAATTAAAATCGTAAAAAAAAAATGTGTCACTTGAAATCAAATAAATATGAACTGAAATAAAATATAAAAAAAATTAACTTATTTTAATTCAACTAGTTCTCAAAGAAACGAGTTTAACTTGATGGACTAAAATAACTAAAACTGAAATACAAAATAATAAAAACTATATAGACATATATATGTCTATATATTTAAACCATGCAGACATTAAAATAAAAAATGTAAAAAAATAAAAACTAATTCACACCTTTATTCAAAACTACAATAATATCTCGTTGATACTAAAATAACACTGCGTAAATTCTGTTTATAAAGCGGATAGTTCCGGTGCTTGATTCTGATTGGCTGAGCCGCGTTCGAAGCTGTTGTAAATGACTCTACAAAGTAACATACACCTTTGTTTACGTTTGTGTGTTGCTCGGCAACCACTTTGTTGCAACCACAACTGTTTCTGAGGAGCTACATTGTTTGGTGGAAGAATACTGTTTTTATTAATATCATTACACTTTATTTGCTCTGTTTGATTTTGTGAAACCTTACTACGTATATGGAATAACCGTTTTATAAAAGCAATAAGCCCCGTGAAGCCGTGGTTTACAGTGAATTTATAACAGCTAAGGGGGTTTAAGGCACTGTTATAAATTCACTGTAAACCACGGCTTCTTGGGTCTTACTGCTTTAGTTTGAGTGAGCGTTCAGATTTTACACGCTCTTTATGCACGGCGACTACATTAACGTTCAGTTACACGTGAAGCACAGATGCGACGCGCTCAAATGAGACCGATGCTGTAATTTAGAAACATTGAGTAAAATAGAGCATATTTGCAATTTCTCAAACAGTAACTCGACACCAAGGTCACGGGTTTGATTTGAATGCATGAGCTGAAAAAAATGCAAAGTAAGCTGCTTTGAATAAATGCATCAGTGTAAATGTAAAAATGTCATTAGATTGAGTTTGCATTGATACTGAGCAGCACTGAACTGAATCTCTGGACTATCTGTGACGGTTTGGTGTGACGCAGTGTTGTGTGTCTCGCGCCGTACGGAGCTCAGGCTCGTGTGCTGACGCTGAAGACGCTGGAAGCAGCTGGTTTCCTCCACAGGACGATCGTTCCCAGGCTTACCGGCGCTCTCCTGCTGCGTGTCTGAAGGAGCGGACACATACGGGTCGCTCTGATCACCCGGCGGCTCTGCCTCCTTCGGCTTGACCATGCGGCCCCGGAGCAGCGGGCCCCTGGGGGCCGGAGGAGGGACGGTGGTGAGGAGGCCTGCTGGAGCACAGCACACATCAACATCTCTCTGAGACACAACACACACATCTCGCATCATTCACACTCTAATCAATATCTCACGTCCACTGATTGATTTGCTGATTATCCGTGTAATTAACAGAGTAAGCTGCTCATAATCACAGAATAAACTCCATTACGTTAAACTCACATACGATTAGCTGACCTGAAATTGAATTATGTGAAATTAAACCAATTGTTGCAATGATTACTAATACTAAACCAACCCAAATCAATCCGATGAACAAATACTGATACCTAGAGTTAAACACCGCAGTAACACTAACAAACAGCTAGTTTACTCTAGTACAGGGTTTTCCAAAGTGGGGTTCTCGAGGGTCGATGAAAAGCTAATTAATTCAATAAAAGTATCAAATTAATCTTAAAATAAAAATAAATAAAAATAAAACATTTAAAAGGATGAAATGTTGTATTTTTATAATCTATGCATTTTATTTTATATATATTATATAAATAATATAATTTAAATTAAGAAATTGTTATTAAAAGATTTTTAACTCTTAAAATCTTAAAAATAATTAAAAATATATATATCTTGAAATAAAAACAAACCAAAATTAAATGAAGGAAGATTAATATTTTATATTTATAAATAATAT